GCCAGGATACCGGGGGGAGGGAACTTGAATTGAACGATGCTCGCCGAGAGGGTGTAGTAACTCTTGGCCTCGGGCTTGACCTTGACGAAACTGTCTACTGTTAGTGTGATATATAAATCCACGACACGGAGTACTTACTCAGCCAAGTTACCCTTGTAGCAGACCAGCTTCTTCTGTTCGTAGTGGTAGATATCCGTGCAGACTTCGTCGAGGAAGCCGGAGTCGTGAGAGACGATCAAACTGGTGATATCGGTGTGCTTCTTCAGGTACTCCTGGAGCCACTTGACGTTGGCCACATCCAAGTGGTTAGTAGGTTCGTCCAGCAGGAGGACGTCCGCCTTGCGCAGCATGGCACGCGCCAGAGCGAGCTTCATCTTCCAACCTCCAGACAGGGAGCCCACACGCTGGTTCTGACGGCCCTCGGGACCGTCCGTGAAGCCGAACTCGAGCAACACGCTACGGATATGCTCCTCGCCTTCGGCAGCAATCATGGGATCCTTGGAGACGTACTCGAAGATGCTGAGATCGGCATCCTCGCCCTGGTTGTGCTCGACGAAGCAGGTACGAACCTCGCTCTGCGGGGGGAAACCCTCCAGCTTCTCGTTGGCGATACTGCGCATGAGCGTCGATTTACCAGCACCATTGCGACCGCACAGACCGTAGCGGTGACCCTTCAGCAGACGAAGGTTGGTGTGGGACAGCAGAAGCATACCACCGTAGGCCAGAGAGAAATTGGCGTTGACGATCTCGACCTCGTTGGGGTCGTCGGGGATGGGCTTGCCGAACTTGCGGTGGTCCTCCTCGACGAAGTGCTCCTGGACGGCGGCGGCGACAGCGTCGTGCTTGTCCTCGTGCAGCAGACCGCGCAGGTACGGGGCAATGCAGGCGGGAATGCGGTCGTGCATGCGGCAGTTGACATCCTCGCGAACCATCTCGGCGACATAGTTCTTACCCAGAGCAAACAAGGTGGCGTCCTCAGGGCGGGCCAGGCCGCCGTGCTCCTGGATCTTGGCCTCTAGCACGGCCAGGACTTCCTCTGGGGTGATCTTCACAACCACACCAGCAGCCACATCCTTATCGGCCATAGCCTTCTCGATGACATCCAAAGCACGGGTGGCGAGCTCACGAACTTCGGGCAGGGAGGCACGGTCCTTGACGCGCTGAACACCGGGCTTCAGCTTGGGCAGGAAAGTACGAGCCTCAGCGGGGTCGTGGACAAGCTTGGTGAGGTTCTCCACAACGACGACCGTCTGACGCAGGGTCTCCTGGGGAGTCGTGGGGGCGTTAAGAGAACGCTCGAGCAGAGGCGTGAGCAGAGCGAGAACGGGGGAGGTGACGATGGCGACGAAGGTAGTCTGGGACAGGGCGTGGATGGCCTTCTGCAAGGTCTGCTCGGATGGCTGCTCCATGGTCTTGATCAAAAGGGGAATGCGGGGAGCCACGTCGTCGTTGGACAGAAGAGTAGTGAGAGCATTCATAGCCTTGATGGCCTTCTTAGCGACCTCGTTCTTCAGGTCGTGCATGCCGGACTCGACCAACGGGATCAGATCCTTCAGGGTCTTGCCCATGGCCTCGCGCAACAGGTCCTTCTCGCGCTCCTCATCCAGGGATCCAGTGCCCATTTGCGACTTGGTAGCCATCTTCTCGATGAGGCTGTAGGCACCGACGAAACCCTGCCACTTGGCTGTGTTCTGGTTGAGATAGGCGGAGAGGGCGGGAAGAAGGGCGTTGACCAAAGCCTCGGGCTTGAGGCAGGCAAACAGCGCATCGATAGCGTACTGAGCAGCATCGCGCACGACAGCACCCTTGTCGGCCAGCAGATCGAGGGCCAGGTTCAGGACACCGCCGTCCTGCAGAAGGAAGACGACTTCGCTCAGAGGGTGTTCGCGGGGGAATCGCTCGAAGAGGGCGCCCAAAATGAGCATGGAACTTTCGCGCAGGGCGCCATTCTTCTTGTCGGTAGCAGCCTTCTTGATCGGGGGCAGGAGGTTGTATGTACGGAAACCGGAGCAGCCGACACTCTGGATCAACAGGTTGGTGAGGGCGTAGGAGGCATCGAGCGCCTGCTGAGAGGTCTCGGCCTGGAAGATGGTGTTCAGGATGGAGTTGACCTCATCCGCAGTGGGAGGGACGCCGGAGGGGGTCTTGGAAACGACGGTAGTCATGGCTGGAGTGGGATCTTCAGGATGAGGCATGATAATCGTAGGATCTGTGGGTTTGGGGTTCTGGGCCTCTCACACCGGCCGGGGCGGCGGGCAGGCTGAGAAAAAAAAAAGCGAAAAAGAAAATGACAAGAAAAAGAAAAGAGACCAAAACTTTTAGTGGGCAATCCTCGGCGAGGATGCGTATAAACAGAGAAACAGAACGGGGTATACAACAAGGAGAAGAAGAAACAAAGAGGGGAGATTTGGGGGAGAGAGGAGAGGAGAGGCGAGGGAAGTTGAAAGGCGAGCGCAAAGAGGAAAAACAAGATGGAGGCGGGGCCGATAACGAGCCTGAGGATTTTTAGGCGGCGGCCCATTGGATCGGGCGGCGATGAAATCTCTGCCTGAGGCGAGGGGCTGACAGCCTATCATCCAGGCACGCGTGGCTGAGCTGTGGCGGTGTTGATCCCTTGCTAGCCTGATGTATCAGGTGTCATTCGGCTATCAGTATTGCCTGAAATCTCAGGTGTCGCTCAAAGTCAGTTTCTGCCTGAATTCATGTTATTAATGCCTCAGGCTGCCATAACGCCGCCGTTGCCCGATTGGGCTTACCCCGCACGGGGGCTCCACTCGGCGGACCAAAAATGGAGTCTCGGCATCCACTGAGTTGCAACTTGCAATTGGGAGGATCAGCTTCCCCTTCTTCCCTTTGCTGTGCCGAACATCCATCGTCCCATTCCCATGGCCCTGTCAAGGGAATGCATGGGACAAACTCACTTTCCTGCTCTCTCGGTTGGATCTCCCTCTGCCCCGATGTCGCCTCATCGCAGTCTACGATCGACCCCTCACAGAGATCCCCCGAGGCACGGCGACACGGGATCTGCAGCCAAATGGGTCTAATTACACCATGATGATAACTAAAGAGGCAGCGCGCGCTCTACTGCACATTACCGATTTAGTCCGACAGCCGGCTCGGTCTCGCATCGGCGGTGAGGATGTGCAACGATTGAGGGCGGATAGACGCTGACTGCTTATTGCTGATTGTGTTGACCGTCCGCATGCAGCCGTTCCTTGCCTCGGCTCCTCAACACCGCGGCCAACCGACGGCCACTTGCCCTCCTCCCCGGTGATTTTCTCCTGACTCTGCTTTGTACTCTGCTCTGTGTACATAATCCATTCCCTCTCTCGTCTTTGCTTGCACATTCAGCCTTCCAGAACTCTTATCATGTCTTTCTCCCTGCCGATACGTCCAACAACCCGTCACGCCAGCCGGCTGGCACAGGTACGCCCCTCCCCCTTGATAGCTTGCCAATCACTGCTGACAACCCCAGGTCAAGATCCGCTCCGGCCGGTTCTACAGCACCGAATCCGACCTTAAAACCGCCCTGAAATCCGTCATTCCCGAAAAGCGCGAGCTCTTCAAGCAGGTCAAGGCCCGCAGCGACGATATGGTCGGCGAAGTCAAGGTGGGCAACATCATCGGCGGCATGCGCGGCCTGAAGTCCATGCTCTGGGAGGGATCCGTCCTCGACCCCGAGGAGGGTATCCGTTTCCACGGCAAGACCATCAAGAATTGCCAACGTGAACTGCCCAAGGGGACCACGGGAACTGAAATGCTCCCCGAGGCCATGTTCTGGCTGCTCCTGACCGGCCAGGTTCCCACCACCAGCCAGGTGCGCGCATTTTCTCGCGAGCTCGCCGAGAAATCGCATCTCCCCGACCACATCCTGGGCCTGATCAAGTCATTCCCCAAGGACATGCACCCCATGACGCAGCTGTCGGTGGCGGTTGCAGCACTGAACACGGAGTCGACCTTCGCCAAGGCGTACGAGCGCGGCCTGAACAAGGCAGACTACTGGGAGCCCACATTCGACGACAGCATTTCGCTGCTGGCTAAGATTCCACGTGTGGCTGCTTTGGTATTCAGGCCGAACGAGATCGACCAGGTCGGCACACAGGCTCTTGACGCGACACAGGACTGGTCGCACAACTTTGCCGAACTGCTGGGCAAGGGCGGAGCTGAGCATAGCGACTTCCACGACCTGCTGCGATTGTACCTGGCGCTGCACGGCGACCACGAGGGCGGCAACGTCTCGGCGCACGCGACGCATCTGGTGGGCAGTGCCCTCAGCGACCCGTTCCTCAGCTACAGTGCAGGACTGCTTGGTCTGGCCGGCCCGCTGCACGGACTGGCGGCGCAGGAGGTACTGCGGTGGATTCTGGCGATGCAGGAGAAGATTGGCACTCAGGTGACAGACGAGTCGGTGCGCACGTACCTCTGGGACACGTTGAAGTCGGGACGGGTGGTGCCGGGCTACGGACACGGCGTGCTGCGCAAGCCGGACCCGCGATTCGAGGCATTGATGGACTTTGCGGCGACACGGGCAGACGTGCAGGCGAACCCGGTGTTCCAACTGGTGAAGAAGAACTCGGAGATTGCGCCAGAGGTGCTGACGCAGCATGGAAAGGTAAGCACCTATTCTGACTGTTCAGTACTGCTGAGTCAAGACTAACACATCATAGACGAAGAACCCCCACCCCAACGTGGACGCCGCCTCTGGCGTGCTGTTCTACCACTATGGCTTCCAGCAGCCGCTGTACTACACGGTAACCTTCGGCGTGAGTCGGGCCCTGGGACCCTTGGTGCAGTTGATCTGGGACCGGGCCTTGGGACTGCCGATCGAGCGACCGAAGAGTATCAACCTGAAGGGACTGGTTGGCAAGTGAGTTGATATATTGACTGTTGTATCTAGCCTGAAGTAAGCAAGCATCATTTAGAAGTCATATCTCGTTATACCCATATTACTCCATTATCACCTAGAGAAAGAGAGAGGGAGAGAGAGAGAGAGAGAGAGATCACTCCCTCTCAACCCTAACCTCCATAATCTTCTGAATCCTCCACCCACTCCCATTCCCATTGTCATTCCCACTCACCCCAGCACTCCCCGTAACCATACTACTCGAGCTCCCACCCCCAACCGCACTCACCCCAAACCCTCCCCCAACCCCAGCCTCCAACATATCCTCATCAACACAACCACCATTCCCAAACCCTCCCTCCCTCACCCTCGCCACAGCCGGCAAACTACAAATCGTCGTCGTCGTCGGCGCCACCCCACTCCCATCCCACACCCCTCCATACCCACCACTCGGACTACAGCTCCTCCCTCTCCCACCACCACCACCACCACAACTACTCCGACTGCGACTCCGACTCCGACTCCTACTCGAGACCGACCTCCCCTCCTCATTTTCACCCGTCCCAAAAAACATCCCACTCTCCAGCCCCAACCCTAATCCACCCATGCCCAATCCCCGGGCAACCTCATCCAGACTCGCATCCACTAGATCACGACTCTTCTTCCGACCCCCGTTATTGGTGACTATCGAACTAGCAGTGGTATTCCGTGTCTGCGTCTTGCGTAGCGGATACGACGTACTCGTCGTCGTCGTTGGCGACGTCAAGTATGTAAGTGTAGCGTAGGTATTATGCGGGTTATTGTACGTGTTGTTGGTGGTATGTGTGCGGTTGTTGTTGTAACTGGACGATAGGGTGGACGCGAAGGCGTGGAAAAACGGGCCGTAGGTTGGGATGCAGGTTATTATTACCTTTGCCAACATATCAACATCAGTATGGATTGTGCTAAGAAGGGGTAAAGGTAAGAAGGGGTAAAGGTAAGAAGGGGGAGTTGGATGGGGACATACGCCCAAACTGATTTCCACATCCGACCAGATAACGATGGGTTGGCTGTCCGTGTAGGTTTTTAGGTTCTTGATTGTGAAGATCCGGATTATTTGGATTATTGTTATGAAGAAGCCGAGGGCGAAGACGCCGACGAGGGCTATCTATACCATTCTTGTTAGAATGGGTTTTCTGGGGTTATGGGAGTAGAGGAAGGGGGTAGGGAGGGGATGTACCTTCTGGCGAAGACGCAGTTGGAGAGTGAGGAGGACGGGGAGGGGCAGGGCAATTATGATTATGTCGAAGCCGAGACTGGTTCCTGATCCCATCTTTAGTATATTCTTCTGATTTAAGATAGTTGCATGTGGTGGTGTGTGTACCTGCGAGAGCTGGTTCATTGTTAGTATAATATGTATATAAATCAAGTATATGGGGCAGGTATACCATAATAAGACGCCACCGTATCTATGCATGATCCAGGGAGACTTGTATCCCATTGACGAGCAACCTACACACACACACATACATTAGCACATATACTCATATTTGATAAAAGGGAAGGGGGGAACATACCGGATTACAAGCAAACAACAGCAAGAAAGTAAACACCAACTGGTTGCACGTCACCGCCACAATAGCCACGATGATCGTCACGCGATAGGCCTGCACGAAGCCCCCGATGCGCAGGTACGATGACAGCAGGGAGACTTTGAATCCGAGTAATGCAAGGGTGTAGACGGGGCCACCGGCGTATTGGATCTACATACATCATTAGCCATTTACTCAGGTTGTTGATGTAAGTTAGGATGGGGATGTATGTACCTTGCTGAACATGACCACATTCTGATCAGGGAAATACTTCGCATCTAGACCTAGACCCCATCTTGTTTCTAGCACAGTCTATATCAGTATATGTAATATTATCAACATGGTGAAGAGAAGAAAGGGATGTCTCACGCGCAACAGCAATCCCAGCATACGTCATCGCTAGCAAGGCACTCCATAGCGCCGCGAAATCATCCAACCAGGCGGACCTCTTCGTATGAATGCGAATATACAATCTCAAGAAGACCGCCAAACAAGCCGTAATCGAGAAAACGAGACAGATGGCAATGACGCGAGAGACATGACTGTGGGGATCAGGGACGGTCAGATTGTAGACCCAGCCCATTTCGGCATGTTGAAGTCAATCATCAATTATCCCATCTAAAAGAACAACCCAAAGAATTCAGCTTCAGAATCGAGGGGGGCGGAGCTGAGCGATGGGGTTCTGTTAATATATGATGAGTACGCAAATGCAAGAAAGTACATTTCTCTCCCACCCCTGCAGAAAAGAAAGAAGGGAAAAGAAAAAAGAAAAAGAAAAAGAAGGATAGGTAAGAAGAAAAAAGTGTTTACCGCTATGTCACTAAGTACCCTACCTAACCTAACCTACTTACCCCCTCCAATCTCCTGAAATTTATTATGCAAATAAGGAATTAGGAATTTTGATGGATGATGTGTCGACCCAGACCTGATCTGAACTCAATCTACGGTCTACGGCCGCACCCGGACCAGAACAGAACAGGACACAGCCGGGAGTGGAGGTCTGGTTCGTGTGCAGAGGCTAATGAGAGTTTAGTACTATTTTTCATTTCTTTTTCTTCTGCATAATGCTAGAGCCCGACGCTGGCTCGTGATGAGATACGCATGTGCCTGCATGGGAGGAGGTGCACGAGGAAGGGGGGGATAATGATAGGTGGGAAAGGTCAAGTCTCGGTCAATGCGCGGTTCCACTTTATGCAGACTAATTAGGGCACGGATCATGTCCAACTACCAAGGAGATAGACAGCTAAGTAAAAACTAGTGTAGAGAACAAAAGCAATGTGCACAGAAAGAAAGAAAAACAAGGACAAGGGTATTATTATTATTACTGATTAATTCATATCTCCTCTCACCGAATAATCCCATGCTATCACCACCAACATCCATATTCATAATCCATCATAACAACTAAATAAGGTTTAAACCTTCAAAAGCTATCATCCACGGTACCGCATCTTTGGTGATTTCATATCCCGATCGCGTCGGGGATAAAGAGCACGAATCAAACTCGCCGGAAAAGAATTCAGTGTGAGCTTTGGGTAACTAACTAGCAGGACTTTCGGGGTTTCTCTCTGTGTGTAGGGTAGGAATTAGTCGGTGTAGCCGGGAGTAAGAAGTAGGAAGCAAACTAGCAGGGGAGGCCCTTGTCTAGTGGACATTAATTTTAGTTGGGGGAGTGTCGATCCTCATCCAACACCGGAGGAACCATGGCATCCATCTATCTATCTATCTGCCTTGGGCGGTTATGTGTGTGTGTGTCGGGGACCTGAGTATGCATGCATGTTCATGTTCATGTTCTGTTCATGTGGATATGAACGTAACCGACTTTCTCCTCTTCAACTTTCTTTCTTTGTACTTTGTACATAGCATCACCATCATACTCTCAAAAGAATAATACTGATTAGGTTTATTCAGCCATGATGATCCGATCCAACAATAATTATTATGCCAATTATTGTCATTTCTTTCTTTTCTTCTGCTATTCCTTCCTGCACAAGTGAGGCGCAACAGTGACTAATTTCTTCACTTACCAGGACACCCTAGCTATAACCCACACTATTATAGCACTATTAATTATTCCCGCAGCATCACCACCAATCTCCTCCCCATCCGTGCATGCACATCTCATTTCCCACCACCAGCAGAGTGTACTCCGTACGGACCACAGCATACAGCATACAGTAAAAAGTAAAATACCCGACAACCCGACACCCGACCCGACCAAGTCCGCAAACCTGGCAGCCACCTACTAACCCTCCCAGAGTTAATAAAGTAATCAAAATAAAATGAGATTAGGCAGGTCCCCGAGTACTTAGTACTTACTCTACTTTATAGGTAGTGGGTAAGTATGTGCACGGGCAAGTTACCCAGCCACTCATGAGGAAGACGTGTATGAAAATTAACTGAGTGTGTATGTACTTATGAACAATATGCCCAAACAAAGTAAAATAAATAAACATCATAAAATATTAGAATGAGAAAATATGAAAAATAAACGCAGTTAGAAATACTCCCAGCCATCCGTATCATCATCAGAAATTGAAACCCGACATAACCTCCCATCAGGATACATGGTCCACTCATCCGAACCCACAGCCGTTTGGGCATAAAACACATCGAGCGGGTCATATTTCTTCTTGATCTGTCGTAGGCGGGGATAATTCACTCCGTAGAATGCTTTCTGAAAATTGGGTTGGCGGAAGTCGCCCTATCCATTACTGTCAGCCTTCTCTTCATATTCACTAAAAATAAGATAGAGGTAGAGGGTAAAAGTAGCAGGGGAAATACCTCATTCATATAAGCCCCCGAATCCGGCGCCAACCGTTCCAACAACGGCAAATACTCATAAGTCATTTTATACTGCTGCACCAGCATATCCTGGCGCGCATCCCACTGCCATGGCGTCGTAAGCGTCGTATCAATTAACGTATCCCGCCAAGCAGGCAACACCGCATTATCCACATCCCCAACTAACGCCTTCGACACGTTCAATCCCACCCCGATAAATGTCGCCCCGTCCTCCGTGATCTGGCGATACGCGGCCGTCAACGCGGTGTTATTTTCGTGCACTACTGATCGCGGGATCAGCCATCCGCCGTATTGCGCTTCCCCGACGGGGATGTTGGGCATCATGCCGTTGAATTCAGCCAGGTAGGTCGGGAATTGCTCTGCGTAGAGGGTGTATCTGATGCCCATTTTCTCTAACCCGTCGCGGAAGGGTTTGAGGAGGGAGATGAGTTCCTGGACGGGGATGTTGGGCCCCGTTAGTGGCGCGATGTAGAAGGTCGTGTTGGTGAAGTACCAGATGCTCATTGCGCCGGCGTCGACAATAGCCGGGAGGAGGGAGTGATACAGGCCTACTGCCGAGTAGAAAGTGTCCTGGGAGATGTTGGTATTGGTAAACGTGAGGTTTAGTCCGGAGACAGGCGTGCCAGTATGTAACTTGGAGGTCATGGACCAAACGACGCCGTACGTGCCGCCGCCGCCACCACTCAAGGCCCAATACAGGTCCTTGTATTCGTTGTCGCGGGTAGCGGTGATGAAGCGCCCCGTGCCGTCAATGACCTCCCATTTCAGGACTTGGTCCGCGGCGAGACCGTAGCGCGAGGATAGGGCCGAGTGGCCGCCGCCTTGGGAGTAGCCGCCTGCGATGCCGACGGTCGGACACTCGCCGCTGACGACCTGGTAGCCGTGGGCGTCGGCGGCCTCCCAGGCTTCATAGCCCTGGACGCCGGCGCCCAGACGAATGGCCTTACCGGAGTAGTGGGAATCGTGGTGGTCGACGATATCGATGTCCTTGAGGTGATGGGTCCAGATTCCGAGGGCGCCGGCGCCGGTGGATTTGCCGTTATAGTCGTGGCCGGTGTTGCGGACGACGACGCGCAGGTTGTGGGCGGTTGCAAAAGCCAGAGCGCGCGAGATGTGGCTGGGCTGACTGACGTTCACGGCATAGACGATGTAGTTGCCCAGGGTGCAGGGCTTGGCAATGGGGTGGAAGGGATCGCACGAGCCGTTGGCGAACCAGGGGGCCATGATGGAGGAGGACGATTCATAGCTTGACTCGGTTAGCGCATGTGTTTGCTTTTGCGAGGACGAGGCTGCGAGTCAGCCTGACCCAAGACAAAAAAGGCTTACTGGATTTCGGGCTCCGTCCATTGTTCGCGAAGGTAGTCGCACACCCCTGCTTGGTAGGAGGGAGTGTGGCAGGGCTTTCCCAGAGGGATAGTCTGGATTAGTCGGCCATCGATGGATTCGTTGAATTGAGTCCATTCGGCTGGTGAAGGCCAGCATTTCTCCCCCGGGAAGCAGCGGCAGGTGGTGTTGGATTGGATGGTCACGGCTGCATTCCCTACGGCCGACAGCAGGGCCACGAGGCTGGCTAGGAGCAGGAGAAGGCCCGAGAACATGACGGATAGGTGCAGATGGAGGAAATCCGAGATGGGGTTGACAGGAATGCCAGCGGGTTTATAAGAGGAGCCGTGCCCTGTGGTGGAGTGGCAGCCATCGCGTGGCAGGAAGAACCGAAGAAGAATGACCGACGCGCTAATCCAGGGGAAATTACCGAGCAGTGAGCAGCAGCAGTTGCGGAGAATGTTCCATGATGGAAGTTGTTTTCAGATGCCATGCAAGTGGAGCACTGGGGTGGAGTTGACAATCAGACAGGCAGACAAGAATACACACTAGGTGACTTAGCGGATACTCCAAGAGGGTCTGTCTGTCTGTCTCTCATGGATGAAGCCATCAGCATGCACCAGGCAGAAAAGGCTTAGGGCTTGACTATCGCGTGGTGTTTCGTCAGTCTTTGCCACTAGAGAATTAGTTGACTAGTTAGTTTGCAGACTCAAACCAAGCCATCCTGATTCAGGATCCATCCGACCTGCAGCCTAAGCTCCTCCCCAGCGCATGCGTGGTTTTCTTTCTACTTGATCTTCTGTTCCCCTCTCCTCGTGCATCCGATCATCCCGTGCAATGCTTAGCGGGCCTCGTGTCGCGGTCGCTAGCGGTCAAGAGAAAGGAATAGTCCTGATGCTGACAGACAATTTAACTACCTAGTCATTGATAGTCTAGAACTGAAGCGGGCGCTGGTCCAGCGGTGACTGACGGGTGGGCCGGCGGACGTTCCCTCCGGACAAATCAGGGCAAGATGTGCTGATCTGCAAGGGATGATGCTTTGGGCATCCCGTGGTGCTATCGCAGTCTGCTGCTGCCATGGTCGGGAACAGTACGGGCTACTCTGGTTGTACGGAGTACTTGATAGATATCTCTGTTATCGTCTGTTGGTTGACTTAGGGTTGCTATCTGACCCGTCTTCTGCACGAGTCAGTTCCCCGATCGCGATCGTACCAAAACATGAATAAGAACTCCAAAATGGCTTTAATGGAATAGCATGGTCATGAATCATCATATATACGCTTCTGCCTACTATTTACAACTTCGCCTCACCCCCGGCGAGACGCTGCCAATCTTTCTCACCAAACTCTATGTAGCCCTCCGACCCCGGAGGCAACCAAAACAGCCGGTCGCGGTGGCCCTGCACAACCTTCGACCCCAACTTGCCAGGCTCCACGCCCTCCTGGCGCAGCGGCC